ATATATGTACGTACTTTAACTTGTCTGTTATGTTTTTTTTTTATTTGTGTAGATATTAAAAATATCAAGAAATACTCAAAAGTATTGTACCAAGATAACTTGTGAGATAGAAAAACATTGCTAGAATGTTTCCTAATGTTTTTATGTCCTATCATATCCGTACAAGTTCTAATTGTGAAAGCAATATGCTCTTCCTAAGACACAGAAAATACATATTTTCATACGAGAAGCCACTTACTTTCAACAAAGTCCACTATCTCTGAATAACGGTCATCTCTTGAAGAGATCTATAAAGTGAGGACTCATACAAGAGAATACAAGAACTTTTTGCTATCATTGTACCCTTACACATTTATTCTTTCAATAAGCTTACGTCGAGTCTCTTCATAGAAAAAAAAAGATCTCCACAAATTCTCAGATTTCTTTTGTATTGTATTTATCCTCTCATTGAGAGTTATCAGAATTTGTACTTGTAAACCAACACTGACTGTGTTAGATATTCTGAAAAGAATTAAAACACTTGTATTGTTTAGTTCCGAAGAGTTAAACGTTCGACAAAGTTGTTTAGGGTTGATACTAGGAGTGATTAAACTTATACCAGTTAGGATTGACTAGAAGATCAGAAATAGTCAAAATATTTTGTATATCTCAAAGAGTGGTTTGCATTCTGTTGTAATTTTGAATAAGATTAGTAAAACCTCTTAAAAGTTTTTGAGTAAATTAGTATAAAATACTTGTGTTATTACTTACTTAAAACGTTTTTCAAAATACTTTTATTAAAACACAAACGTCTAATAACAACTGTGTAACTTCTAAAAAAATTTAAAAATACTATTCAAACTTTTTTTTTCTAGTGTTCCGTGTTATTTCATATATTTCAGTGTTACCTTTTATAACTGATACATTGAGAGTTTTTTTTATATATATTTTGAACGACTCATTATATCACTTTACACAATTTATACTATAAGTTTTACGTTAATAATAGTAGCTTTTATAAAATTAAATTCTTGTCGTTAAGTAAGTTACGTTTACTGTAATTTTTTATACTTTTTTTTAAACATTGGATATTAACTTTTGTACCAGAGCTTTTAATAGTATTTTGCAAATATTTTTGTTATGTTAGAATAAATAGTATTTGTTACAATGGTACTTTTAGTTTTCAGTTTTTATATTATGTTTTATTCTTAAAATGTTCATTAAAATTTTTTATTCTCTTTTTCTTTTTCTAACGTAGGTAGATACAATTCTGTAATCATTTTTCTCTGTTCCTATTGCACATAGTTTCTTTCATCATAAAACTTTTTATATTATTTTAACATTACACTTTAAAATATATACTTAAAAGAATTAAACTAATAAAGGGTATAGTTTTCATTATTTAGACTAAATAGGATAACTATTTTCAAAGTCAATTTACAGATCCAAAATTATAAGCATAAACCTAAACACAATCCATATATCATTGTCCAATTTGAGCCTTTAAGTTAAGTATCTTAATAACTCAATTTAATACCTTGTCACCAAAGTCAAACAGTTTAACACAATTTTCAGTTCTTGAGTTATCATTAATGGAATATGAAATGGACGCGATGGAAAATTCAAAGCATGAATCAAAAATTAAGAATAAAGAAAATGGTTTCATACACGAAACCAACAAAACCAGTCTTCAATAACTTGTACACTTCTGGGTTTAATTGATAAAAGAATTGACATGATCTTTATCATCACACAAACTTGAAACCATATGTATTAAAATTGGATTATTAATTACATGAGTTCTTTTTTTACTATCTCTCTATTTTCTCTTTAAAATATATTGATATACATTGATTTTGATCTGTTAAAATATATTAGAAAATATTTAATACAGTAAAATCAAAGTATTTTGAAGATATAAAAAAAAAGATAATTCTAAAAATATAATTTTTATTGTGAAATAGAAAAGTTTAGATTTAGATTACCATGTTCTGAAATCCATATGCATGTTTATTTTATATGTAAAGTATCAACAGTGATCAGTCTTAATTGTCTGATAGGTCTTGAAACTCTATATAAAAAATTGTATATAATTTAAAATATTATAATTAATAATATTATTTTTAATTTAATATATTTAGTTCCCTCGAATTTATATGTTTTTATATAAAATTTGATATTTCAAAATATTTATTGAAAACCCTTTATTAAATATTAGAAAGTAAAAGAAATTGATCATAATGAGTTTAAATCAAATTCATTTCTATAAAATAAACTTATTAAGTCAAAATTACCTTATTTATATATTATAAATTAACTTATCTCTTATCTAGCTGAGATATCTAACACAATAATCACATTTAGAAAATATTTAATTTAGTTTTTCATCATTTAAAAGAAACACTTATACTTCCTTTCTATTATAATCTTATTTTTTAGACAAGTATTCGTTCATAATCGGTTGTTACTAGGTTACTTTTTCTTCAAAACATAATTCACATGGATAAGAGCCAAATAACATGTATCACATATATTATAATCTCATTTAATGAGTATTAATGTTCCATAATGATTCCACTTTAAAAAGAGGGGAAAAATGTTAGAATTCATATCTACCATACTGATTTCACCTAAAAAGAGAGAGAGAGAAAAGGATACTGTAGAGTGAAAAGTCATACAACAAATACTAGTCATCGTGGTATAAAGATAATACAAGTGTAAATAAAGACACCACAAGTGGTAAGATAACTTAAAATCAGGTTATTAACCACAAGTTATGTGCAATGATTATCATAGCTAACTGCCTTTTTACATTAATGTTGTATTAATTATTTTCCAGTTTTCTTTTCCGATCGATTTCATTTGTATGACATTTGTATTTGTATTGTATCCTAGATGTTTTCACAAGGTTTCTCGAACATAATTCAAGTTTACATACAGACATTATTGTTTTTGAAAGTTCTGAATGTTGCTTCGTGTCTTAAAAAGCTGCTAATTATCTACTTGATAAAGTTTTTTTTTTCCTCATTATTATTCTAGATAGTTCTTGTGAGAGTTAGAAATAGAATAATAAAATTGATAACGTGTTTAAACGATGAGATTACGTTATTTTAATGTTATAGAACTAGAAGTATAAATTAAATTCCTGTTAACGATTCTTATTACTTAAAACACATTATTTTTTTAAAACTCATTTTTTATCATCTCTATTCTTTTCTTAATGTTCTAACTGCTGAGTCATTTCTTTGAAGATCAGAAAGTGTCTAAGTGATCATTATGACAAGATCTTTTTTTTTATTCTATTAATTTTTGTAAAAGACCAAGTTAATTTATGCTCTTTTTCTCTATTTTTCATGTTTTCTGATGCACGTGATCTTAATTCTATCGTATGTATCATCCACGTCTTTCATTAGGTTCTTTACCGATTAGTGATTTTAATGATGTACCTTTGATAATAATTCTATGATTTGTAGGAAGAGATAGAGTTATTTGATCTGTGAGTTAAATTTGTGTCTATACACAAATTAATGTTTCTTTATGAGTTTTTTTATGTTAATAAATATATATTATATTAAAAAAATATTTAAATATATATTATATTAAAAGATATTTAGAGGTTGAAGAAAAAATAAGTTATATTAAATTTTGAATAGATTTAACGGGAAAATTTGTTGATTATAAATTCAATATATATGTAAAATTGTAAAGAGTATATTTTGTAAACATACGATATAACATGTGAAAAAATATAGAATAAACCTTCTAAAAATACCAAGGATAAACTATGCAAAAACATTTATAATATATTCGTTATAAATATAAATAATGTATATTGGTTTAATATGTATTACTAAACTTGTATGATTAATACATCAAAACAAATTTGTCTATTATCTAATGTTAGACTCATCTAATTATTATATACATACATTCATCTAATGTGTATTACTACATTAATCTAATGTGTGGACAAAATCATCTAATGTGTATTACAAGATAGATCTAATCAAAGAACAAATAGAGTTGCTTAATGTATATTAATAGACTCATATAATGTTTATAAACAGACTAGTCTAATGTGTATTCTTAGACTTATTTAATCAAGTTTATGGACAAATTCATCTAATGTATGTTGCAAGACTCGTTTAATCACAGCATAGGGAGAGACTCACCTAATGTACATTCTTAGAATCGTCTAATTAATGCATGAAATGACTTGTTTTATGCACAAAAGTACTTGTGTAATTATTCCACGGATAGACTCGTTTAATGTGTATTTTTAGACTTGTATAATTAGTGTATGAATAGACTTGTCTAATGTATTTTGCAAGATTAATCTAATCAGAGAATGAACATATTCATCTAATGTGTATTAATAGACTCGTCTAATTTGTGTATGAAAAAACTTATCTAATATATATTGTCAACTTGTGAAATCAATATATGAATGAGTTGTCTAATATATATTGCTAGATTGGTATGATCAATTTATCAAAATCTCATCTAATCAACGTATGGAATGATTCATCTAATATATTTTTACTATATTATTCTAATTAGTGTATCTATAGTCTCATCCAATATGTATTATTAAACTTCTGTAATATCTTTTTTATTACTCCACATGAACTGCGAGTTCATTCAAGTAACCGTCACAACCTCCCACATCTCTATCTTCGAACAATCTCACACCACAAAAAAAAACCCTAAACCATAATAAAAAAATAACCAAAATAAATAAAAATTAAAAAAATTAAAACTACTTTAAACAAAACCGACGAAAATACAAAAATAAGAATCAAAATAAATATTAGACCATATAAAGGCTAGAAAAACAATTAACCCAAACAAATAGGAAAACCAAATAAAAAGAAAAGAAAAGCATAATCAATAAAACCATTTCCCACAATAAATGTCTTGCCACGTGTCAGACTGAAAGCATATCATCTTCATCACTGACACCTACACATACAAATTACAGAACCTTAACACTTTCTCTGTTCGCTACGTCCTTATAAATTAGGATCTCCAAATCCATGTCTACTCAAAACGCAGTTCCCAAAAGCCCGTTTGAGAGAATGGCTTCGGGTGAATACAGATTTCCCCCTCAGAAGCAATACACACAGCCTGGCAAAGAGTATCTGATGAATCCACCACCCCAATATAGCAGTCCAGATTACAAACCATCCAATAAACTTCAAGTATATATGCATGCACTGATTGATCTCAAAGTACTTTTTTTTATCTGCTTATGTGCTTAATCGGTTTATATATTTTCAGGGGAAGGTGGCTGTAGTAACTGGAGGTGACTCCGGAATCGGAAGAGCGGTGTGTAACTTGTTTTCATTGGAGGGTGCTACTGTTATCTTCACCTATGTGAAGGGACAGGAAGACATAGATGCCAGAGACACACTTGAAATNGAAAAAAAAAGATCTCCACAAATTCTCAGATTTCTTTTGTATTGTATTTATCCTCTCATTGAGAGTTATCAGAATTTGTACTTGTAAACCAACACTGACTGTGTTAGATATTCTGAAAAGAATTAAAACACTTGTATTGTTTAGTTCCGAAGAGTTAAACGTTCGACAAAGTTGTTTAGGGTTGATACTAGGAGTGATTAAACTTATACCAGTTAGGATTGACTAGAAGATCAGAAATAGTCAAAATATTTTGTATATCTCAAAGAGTGGTTTGCATTCTGTTGTAATTTTGAATAAGATTAGTAAAACCTCTTAAAAGTTTTTGAGTAAATTAGTATAAAATACTTGTGTTATTACTTACTTAAAACGTTTTTCAAAATACTTTTATTAAAACACAAACGTCTAATAACAACTGTGTAACTTCTAAAAAAATTTAAAAATACTATTCAAACTTTTTTTTTCTAGTGTTCCGTGTTATTTCATATATTTCAGTGTTACCTTTTATAACTGATACATTGAGAGTTTTTTTTATATATATTTTGAACGACTCATTATATCACTTTACACAATTTATACTATAAGTTTTACGTTAATAATAGTAGCTTTTATAAAATTAAATTCTTGTCGTTAAGTAAGTTACGTTTACTGTAATTTTTTATACTTTTTTTTAAACATTGGATATTAACTTTTGTACCAGAGCTTTTAATAGTATTTTGCAAATATTTTTGTTATGTTAGAATAAATAGTATTTGTTACAATGGTACTTTTAGTTTTCAGTTTTTATATTATGTTTTATTCTTAAAATGTTCATTAAAATTTTTTATTCTCTTTTTCTTTTTCTAACGTAGGTAGATACAATTCTGTAATCATTTTTCTCTGTTCCTATTGCACATAGTTTCTTTCATCATAAAACTTTTTATATTATTTTAACATTACACTTTAAAATATATACTTAAAAGAATTAAACTAATAAAGGGTATAGTTTTCATTATTTAGACTAAATAGGATAACTATTTTCAAAGTCAATTTACAGATCCAAAATTATAAGCATAAACCTAAACACAATCCATATATCATTGTCCAATTTGAGCCTTTAAGTTAAGTATCTTAATAACTCAATTTAATACCTTGTCACCAAAGTCAAACAGTTTAACACAATTTTCAGTTCTTGAGTTATCATTAATGGAATATGAAATGGACGCGATGGAAAATTCAAAGCATGAATCAAAAATTAAGAATAAAGAAAATGGTTTCATACACGAAACCAACAAAACCAGTCTTCAATAACTTGTACACTTCTGGGTTTAATTGATAAAAGAATTGACATGATCTTTATCATCACACAAACTTGAAACCATATGTATTAAAATTGGATTATTAATTACATGAGTTCTTTTTTTACTATCTCTCTATTTTCTCTTTAAAATATATTGATATACATTGATTTTGATCTGTTAAAATATATTAGAAAATATTTAATACAGTAAAATCAAAGTATTTTGAAGATATAAAAAAAAAGATAATTCTAAAAATATAATTTTTATTGTGAAATAGAAAAGTTTAGATTTAGATTACCATGTTCTGAAATCCATATGCATGTTTATTTTATATGTAAAGTATCAACAGTGATCAGTCTTAATTGTCTGATAGGTCTTGAAACTCTATATAAAAAATTGTATATAATTTAAAATATTATAATTAATAATATTATTTTTAATTTAATATATTTAGTTCCCTCGAATTTATATGTTTTTATATAAAATTTGATATTTCAAAATATTTATTGAAAACCCTTTATTAAATATTAGAAAGTAAAAGAAATTGATCATAATGAGTTTAAATCAAATTCATTTCTATAAAATAAACTTATTAAGTCAAAATTACCTTATTTATATATTATAAATTAACTTATCTCTTATCTAGCTGAGATATCTAACACAATAATCACATTTAGAAAATATTTAATTTAGTTTTTCATCATTTAAAAGAAACACTTATACTTCCTTTCTATTATAATCTTATTTTTTAGACAAGTATTCGTTCATAATCGGTTGTTACTAGGTTACTTTTTCTTCAAAACATAATTCACATGGATAAGAGCCAAATAACATGTATCACATATATTATAATCTCATTTAATGAGTATTAATGTTCCATAATGATTCCACTTTAAAAAGAGGGGAAAAATGTTAGAATTCATATCTACCATACTGATTTCACCTAAAAAGAGAGAGAGAGAAAAGGATACTGTAGAGTGAAAAGTCATACAACAAATACTAGTCATCGTGGTATAAAGATAATACAAGTGTAAATAAAGACACCACAAGTGGTAAGATAACTTAAAATCAGGTTATTAACCACAAGTTATGTGCAATGATTATCATAGCTAACTGCCTTTTTACATTAATGTTGTATTAATTATTTTCCAGTTTTCTTTTCCGATCGATTTCATTTGTATGACATTTGTATTTGTATTGTATCCTAGATGTTTTCACAAGGTTTCTCGAACATAATTCAAGTTTACATACAGACATTATTGTTTTTGAAAGTTCTGAATGTTGCTTCGTGTCTTAAAAAGCTGCTAATTATCTACTTGATAAAGTTTTTTTTTTCCTCATTATTATTCTAGATAGTTCTTGTGAGAGTTAGAAATAGAATAATAAAATTGATAACGTGTTTAAACGATGAGATTACGTTATTTTAATGTTATAGAACTAGAAGTATAAATTAAATTCCTGTTAACGATTCTTATTACTTAAAACACATTATTTTTTTAAAACTCATTTTTTATCATCTCTATTCTTTTCTTAATGTTCTAACTGCTGAGTCATTTCTTTGAAGATCAGAAAGTGTCTAAGTGATCATTATGACAAGATCTTTTTTTTTATTCTATTAATTTTTGTAAAAGACCAAGTTAATTTATGCTCTTTTTCTCTATTTTTCATGTTTTCTGATGCACGTGATCTTAATTCTATCGTATGTATCATCCACGTCTTTCATTAGGTTCTTTACCGATTAGTGATTTTAATGATGTACCTTTGATAATAATTCTATGATTTGTAGGAAGAGATAGAGTTATTTGATCTGTGAGTTAAATTTGTGTCTATACACAAATTAATGTTTCTTTATGAGTTTTTTTATGTTAATAAATATATATTATATTAAAAAAATATTTAAATATATATTATATTAAAAGATATTTAGAGGTTGAAGAAAAAATAAGTTATATTAAATTTTGAATAGATTTAACGGGAAAATTTGTTGATTATAAATTCAATATATATGTAAAATTGTAAAGAGTATATTTTGTAAACATACGATATAACATGTGAAAAAATATAGAATAAACCTTCTAAAAATACCAAGGATAAACTATGCAAAAACATTTATAATATATTCGTTATAAATATAAATAATGTATATTGGTTTAATATGTATTACTAAACTTGTATGATTAATACATCAAAACAAATTTGTCTATTATCTAATGTTAGACTCATCTAATTATTATATACATACATTCATCTAATGTGTATTACTACATTAATCTAATGTGTGGACAAAATCATCTAATGTGTATTACAAGATAGATCTAATCAAAGAACAAATAGAGTTGCTTAATGTATATTAATAGACTCATATAATGTTTATAAACAGACTAGTCTAATGTGTATTCTTAGACTTATTTAATCAAGTTTATGGACAAATTCATCTAATGTATGTTGCAAGACTCGTTTAATCACAGCATAGGGAGAGACTCACCTAATGTACATTCTTAGAATCGTCTAATTAATGCATGAAATGACTTGTTTTATGCACAAAAGTACTTGTGTAATTATTCCACGGATAGACTCGTTTAATGTGTATTTTTAGACTTGTATAATTAGTGTATGAATAGACTTGTCTAATGTATTTTGCAAGATTAATCTAATCAGAGAATGAACATATTCATCTAATGTGTATTAATAGACTCGTCTAATTTGTGTATGAAAAAACTTATCTAATATATATTGTCAACTTGTGAAATCAATATATGAATGAGTTGTCTAATATATATTGCTAGATTGGTATGATCAATTTATCAAAATCTCATCTAATCAACGTATGGAATGATTCATCTAATATATTTTTACTATATTATTCTAATTAGTGTATCTATAGTCTCATCCAATATGTATTATTAAACTTCTGTAATATCTTTTTTATTACTCCACATGAACTGCGAGTTCATTCAAGTAACCGTCACAACCTCCCACATCTCTATCTTCGAACAATCTCACACCACAAAAAAAAACCCTAAACCATAATAAAAAAATAACCAAAATAAATAAAAATTAAAAAAATTAAAACTACTTTAAACAAAACCGACGAAAATACAAAAATAAGAATCAAAATAAATATTAGACCATATAAAGGCTAGAAAAACAATTAACCCAAACAAATAGGAAAACCAAATAAAAAGAAAAGAAAAGCATAATCAATAAAACCATTTCCCACAATAAATGTCTTGCCACGTGTCAGACTGAAAGCATATCATCTTCATCACTGACACCTACACATACAAATTACAGAACCTTAACACTTTCTCTGTTCGCTACGTCCTTATAAATTAGGATCTCCAAATCCATGTCTACTCAAAACGCAGTTCCCAAAAGCCCGTTTGAGAGAATGGCTTCGGGTGAATACAGATTTCCCCCTCAGAAGCAATACACACAGCCTGGCAAAGAGTATCTGATGAATCCACCACCCCAATATAGCAGTCCAGATTACAAACCATCCAATAAACTTCAAGTATATATGCATGCACTGATTGATCTCAAAGTACTTTTTTTTATCTGCTTATGTGCTTAATCGGTTTATATATTTTCAGGGGAAGGTGGCTGTAGTAACTGGAGGTGACTCCGGAATCGGAAGAGCGGTGTGTAACTTGTTTTCATTGGAGGGTGCTACTGTTATCTTCACCTATGTGAAGGGACAGGAAGACATAGATGCCAGAGACACACTTGAAATGATCAGAAAAGCTAAGAGTGCCGATGCCAAAGATCCAATGGCTATAGCAGTTGATTTGGGTTATGAACAGAATTGCAAGAGTGTGGTCGATCAAGTCGTTAATGCTTATGGCTGCATTGATGTTTTGGTCAACAACGCAGCTGTGCAGTTTCAGAGTGATTCCTTGGACGAAATTGATGATAAAAGACTGGACTTGGTTTTCCGAACTAATATCTTTTCCTACTTCTTCATGGCTAAGTAAGACAAGAGCCTAATTTAAACTAACATCTTTGCATCTCCTTATATACTCTAAGTAAATAAGATGTGATCTAAAAGTTTAACACTAATGACTTCTGAAAATGAATAAACAGATATGCTCTGAAGCACATGAAGGAAGGAAGCAGCATAATCAACACGACATCAGTGGTTGCATATCAAGGATACGCAACACTAGTGGAATATGCATCAACAAAAGGTGCCATTGTAGGGTTCACAAGATCCCTAGCACTTCAGCTGGTGAGCAAGGGAATTCGAGTGAATGGCGTTGCTCCTGGACCTATCTGGACTCCCTTACAGGTAGCAAGTTTGACAGTGGAACAAATTGTGGTGTTAGGTTCTGATTCCACAGCATTGAAAAGAGCTGGACAACCCATTGAGGTTGCTCCTTCTTATGTCTTTCTCGCCAGCAACCAGTGTTCCTCTTACATTACAGGCCAAGTCCTCCACCCAAACGGTCATGCATCTCTCTATGCTCATACTTACAAAATCTGTATATTTAATTTCACAACAAAATCATGAACAGTTTTTCATTTTTTGTGTTTTGTAACTCTTTTCGTTTTCATATTTTCATGCAGGTGGAATCATAGTGAATACATAATTGTTGGATTGAAGAATAAAGATACTCAAAGTTTATGGTTTATGTGATGTATGTCTTTGCTGTTTGTTTTATTATATTCATAAATTATGTTACGTGTGTAAAGTAACATTGTATCGATATGTGTATGAATAAATGTTTATGGAGGAAGATTCTGGTTGAAAAGCGAACAAGTATTTGTATTACCACTATAATAAAAATACTAAAGTTAATTGAAGTTTACATAGAGACATTATTGTTAAAGGCTTTTGAAAGTTCTGAATGTTGTTGTGTCTTAGAAAGCTGCTAATTATCTACTTGATAAAGTGTTCTTCTTATTTTTTTTTGTTTCTTTTTGTTAAGCTTTAAATCTATGGTACACTTTCTATTGGTCCTCTTGCATCTCACATGAAATACGTTTCACATCAATTAAATATGAACTATGTTTAAATTGTTTTTTAATAATAATCTTTTGACAATACTATATATATTTATATATATTTGAAATGGATCAATAAGAATCTTATATATATATTTGAAATGGATCAATAAGAATCAATACCATCACATAACTATTGTAAAAAGAAATTATTAAAAAATCATTTTTCAGCGCATGTACTAAGTTGAAGTGTCTTATGGTCGAACAATCAAGTAGAATGTTGTCATATACTACATGCATTTCAATCCTTGTTATTAATTTGGTCTAGGTATTAAGTCAACCTCACTAATTAATCCAATAAAAAAACAAAGCAAATACATAATACGACAATGGTGATTTAGTTGCATAGTTTAGGAGAAAAGGTGATTCAACCCAATGAGGAACTTCTACTTTTGTTGCAAACTGAATTATTTTTATTAGGCTAAAAATTGGTCAAAAATATATATTTATCCAATCATTTTGTGTTCAGAAAATATGAGTAAGCACAAATGATTTCAATTTTATCATTCAAATATTACTTACCCAATCTTTATGTATTCAGAAAATACGAAAATTCTTTAATCCTTCTTTGTGTAAATTTATAGCAAGTTCATTAATAATATTGTTATGGTTGTATCTTAATGGCTACAAGGGAGTGAAGTTCTAAAAGTACCCATCTAGAGTATGAAAAGGAAAAAAAAGTAGTGACGAAGAAATGAATTTAAGGAAAGTAGTTGAAAAATGAAGTTGTTTTACTTGGCATGATAGGAAGTAAATGTCAAGTCATTGGTGTGATGTTAAACTTTTATCTTTACTGGAGTTTTTGTTTAGATTAGTTCATATGTTTTTAATTGGTTTGATTGTTTTCAGTCGTATTAGATTTTTTAATCAAGTAATATTCCTTAAATGTTATGTATTTGAATTTTTATATTTACATTGCTTTTAATAATATATTTTATTTTAAATCATCAATAAAATTAATTTTGATTAATTTTTATGTATTTTATAATTTTATACATTTTGTTTATTTTTTATTATAAAAATAAATTTTATTAAATTAAAAAATTATGAACGCAAGTGAATAATTATAAATAAAAGAGGTTTGAAACCTCTATAAAATAAAAATATTAATAGAATATTTTTACACAAAAATTCTCTACAATATAAATTAAATACTAGAAATCAATAAAAACATCCACAACTTAATAATTACTAATGGTGGAGGTTTGGAAAGCCCGCACAAATTAATTTCTAGAGGATAAAAATTTTCACAAATTAATTTCTAAACCTCTTCTAAATAACAATTTTTTAGTGTATGTTTGGTAATTTTAAGAATTAGTCCTAACACTTAAAAAAAAGTGTTTGTTAAAGTATTAAAAAAATATTTATTTTAGAAGTTTCTACTTTACAAGTTATAAATTTTGCATGATATTAATTTATTATTTTGCATGTGATTTTTCAAATTTTAATTTAGTTTAATTTTGTGGTTCCATTTCAATTTTTACTTTACTACAAGGGCTTTATTATTATTTTTATTTGTTTATTGATAAAAATAAATAAAAAACTATTGTTTTATTCTTATGACTTTAAATCTTATTTTTTAAGTTGTACCAGTGTACTTTAATGATAAAATTTTACAAGAATGTGTTCATATATTATGACTCTTATAATTCATAAATTATGCTCTTAATGGATATTATCACAATTCATTAATAAATATAATTATTATGATATATTTTATTTAAATTTTTAACTTAATTTTTTATTTTATATTTAAAGAATTAAATAACCATTGATTAAACCGTTTAGTTTTTTTTTTCTGAATATTTTACAAAACTAAATTACACCTCGAAGTACTTTTATCCTTTATTAGAGAGAGAATTTCAATATTTTGACTATGCAGAGGCATTTTAGTTTGGTACAATATTCTTTATTTTGAATATTATTTTTTTTCTAATTTTAATTATTACATTTTTCTCTTTTACTTTTATTAATGGTATTTTAATGGTCTTTGTAGAGAAAAACAAGTAAAAACCTTTTCATCAACCTCTTCCTCCCCTAGTTAACATATCAATAGCCACTTATTCAAATTTTTGTGCAAGTTGTAAAACAAAACTAATGTCATCTATTCAAAAAAGTCTCACAAAACAAAAGAAAGAAAGTAATGTATATAGACATAAAAACAAGCTGTTGGAGTGCGCTAAGCACACACCAATGTGGAGAAGAGTAAAGAGAAGAATTAGAAAAAAAAAAGCAAAATAAGAGAAAAGAAGATGTGAAAGGAAACTGATGTTATTAATTCAAAAGATCTTACAAAACAAAAGTGAGAAAGCCATAGACATCAAAACAAATGGTTGGAGTGCTCTACATGATTCGATTACTAATAATAATCCAATTTCCAACCATTCTTATTCGCAGGATTAAGAGATAAAAGTCGAGAGAAAGAATTGTCTAACATAATAAGAAGAAAAAAAAAAAAAAAAACACTCTATCAAGTAGATAATTAGCAGCTTTCTAAGACACAAAAACATTCAGAACTTTCAAAAGCCTTTAATAATAATGTCTCTATGTAAACTTCAATTAACTTTAGTATTTTTATTATAGTGTAATACAAATACTTGTTCGCTTTTCAACCAGAATCTTCCTCCATAAACATTTATTCATACACATCGATACAATGTTACTTTACACACGTAACATAATTTATGAATATAAAAAAACAAACAGCAAAGACATACATCACATAAACCAATATAAACTTTGAGTATCTTTATTCTTCAATCCAACAATTATGTATTCACTATGATTCCACCTGCATGAAAATATGAAAACGAAAAGAGTTACAAAACACAAAAAAATGAAAAACTGTTCATGATTTTGTTATGAAATTAAATATACAGATTTTGTAAGTATGAGCATAAGAGAGATGCATGACCGTTTGGGTGGAGGACTTGGCCTGTAATGTAAGAGGAACACTGGTTGCTGGCGAGAAAGACATAAGAAGGAGCAACCTCAATGGGTTGTCCAGCTCTTTTCAATGCTGTGGAATCAGAACCGAACACCACAATTTGTTCCACTGTCAAACTTGCTACCTGTAAGGGAGTCCAGATAGGTCCAGGAGCAACGCCATTCACTCGAATTCTCTTGCTCACCAGCTGAAGTGCAAGGGATCTTGTGAACCCTACAATGGCACCCTTCGTCGATGCATAGTCTACCATTGTTGCGAATCCTTGATATGCAACCACTGATGTCGTGTTGATAATGCTGCTTCCTTCCTTCATGTGCTTCAGAGCATATCTGTGTACTCATTTTCAGATGCCACGAGTGTTAAACTTTTAGATTGCATATACAATCATCTTACATGCAAAATTTTTGTAAGATTAAATTTGCCTTTTTTCTTACTTGGTCATGAAGAAGTAGGAAAAGATATTAGTTCGGAAAACCAAGTCCAGTCTTTTATCATCAATTTCGTCCAAGGAATCACTCTGGAACTGCACAGCTGCGTTGTTGACCAAAACATCAATGCAGCCATAAGCATTAACGACTTGATCGATCACACTCTTGCAATTCTGTTCATAACCCAAATCAACTGCTATAGCCATTGGATCTTTGGCATCGACACTCTTAGCTTTTCTGATGATTTCAAGTGTGTCTCTGGCATCTATGTCTTCCTGTCCTTTCACATAGGTGAAGATAACAGTAGCACCCTCCAATGAAAACAAGTTACACACCGCTCTTCCGATTCCGGAGTCACCTCCAGTTACTACAGCCACCTTCCCCTGAAAATATATAAACCGATTAAGCACATAAGCAGATAAAAAAAAGTACTTTGAGATCAATCAGTGCATGCATATATACTTGAAGTTTATTGGATGGTTTGTAATCTGGACTGCTATATTGGGGTGGTGGATTCATCAGATACTCTTTGCCAGGCTGTGTGTATTGCTTCTGAGGGGGAAATCTGTATTCACCCGAAGCCATTCTCTCAAACGGGCTTTTGGGAACTGCGTTTTGAGTAGACATGGATTTGGAGATCCTAATTTATAAGGACGTAGCGAACAGAGAAAGTGTTAAGGTTCTGTAATTTGTATGTGTAGGTGTCAGTGATGAAGATGATATGCTTTCAGTCTGACACGTGGCAAGACATTTATTGTGGGAAATGGTTTTATTGATTATGCTTTTCTTTTCTTTTTATTTGGTTTTCCTATTTGTTTGGGTTAATTGTTTTTCTAGCCTTTATATGGTCTAATATTTATTTTGATTCTTATTTTTGTATTTTCGTCGGTTTTGTTTAAAGTAGTTTTAATTTTTTTAATTTTTATTTATTTTGGTTATTTTTTTATTATGGTTTAGGGTTTTTTTTTGTGGTGTGAGATTGTTCGAAGATAGAGATGTGGGAGGTTGTGACGGTTACTTGAATGAACTCGCAGTTCATGTGGAGTAATAAAAAAGATATTACAGAAGTTTAATAATACATATTGGATGAGACTATAGATACACTAATTAGAATAATATAGTAAAAATATATTAGATGAATCATTCCATACGTTGATTAGATGAGATTTTGATAAATTGATCATACCAATCTAGCAATATATATTAGACAACTCATTCATATATTGATTTCACAAGTTGACAATATATATTAGATAAGTTTTTTCATACACAAATTAGACGAGTCTATTAATACACATTAGATGAATATGTTCATTCTCTGATTAGATTAATCTTGCAAAATACATTAGACAAGTCTATTCATACACTAATTATACAAGTCTAAAAATACACATTAAACGAGTCTATCCGTGGAATAATTACACAAGTACTTTTGTGCATAAAACAAGTCATTTCATGCATTAATTAGACGATTCTAAGAATGTACATTAGGTGAGTCTCTCCCTATGCTGTGATTAAACGAGTCTTGCAACATACATTAGATGAATTTGTCCATAAACTTGATTAAATAAGTCTAAGAATACACATTAGACTAGTCTGTTTATAAACATTATATGAGTCTATTAATATACATTAAGCAACTCTATTTGTTCTTTGATTAGATCTATCTTGTAATACACATTAGATGATTTTGTCCACACATTAGATTAATGTAGTAATACACATTAGATGAATGTATGTATATAATAATTAGATGAGTCTAACATTAGATAATAGACAAATTTGTTTTGATGTATTAATCATACAAGTTTAGTAATACATATTAAACCAATATACATTATTTATATTTATAACGAATATATTATAAATGTTTTTGCATAGTTTATCCTTGGTATTTTTAGAAGGTTTATTCTATATTTTTTCACATGTTATATCGTATGTTTACAAAATATACTCTTTACAATTTTACATATATATTGAATTTATAATCAACAAATTTTCCCGTTAAATCTATTCAAAATTTAATATAACTTATTTTTTCTTCAACCTCTAAATATCTTTTAATATAATATATATTTAAATATTTTTTTAATATAATATATATTTATTAACATAAAAAAACTCATAAAGAAACATTAATTTGTGTATAGACACAAATTTAACTCACAGATCAAATAACTCTATCTCTTCCTACAAATCATAGAATTATTATCAAAGGTACATCATTAAAATCACTAATCGGTAAAGAACCTAATGAAAGACGTGGATGATACATACGATAGAATTAAGATCACGTGCATCAGAAAACATGAAAAATAGAGAAAAAGAGCATAAATTAACTTGGTCTTTTACAAAAATTAATAGAATAAAAAAAAAGATCTTGTCATAATGATCACTTAGACACTTTCTGATCTTCAAAGAAATGACTCAGCAGTTAGAACATTAAGAAAAGAATAGAGATGATAAAAAATGAGTTTTAAAAAAATAATGTGTTTTAAGTAATAAGAATCGTTAACAGGAATTTAATTTATACTTCTAGTTCTATAACATTAAAATAACGTAATCTCATCGTTTAAACACGTTATCAATTTTATTATTCTATTTCTAACTCTCACAAGAACTATCTAGAATAATAATGAGGAAAAAAAAAACTTTATCAAGTAGATAATTAGCAGCTTTTTAAGACACGAAGCAACATTCAGAACTTTCAAAAACAATAATGTCTGTATGTAAACTTGAATTATGTTCGAGAAACCTTGTGAAAACATCTAGGATACAATACAAATACAAATGTCATACAAATGAAATCGATCGGAAAAGAAAACTGGAAAATAATTAATACAACATTAATGTAAAAAGGCAGTTAGCTATGATAATCATTGCACATAACTTGTGGTTAATAACCTGATTTTAAGTTATCTTACCACTTGTGGTGTCTTTATTTACACTTGTATTATCTTTATACCACGATGACTAGTATTTGTTGTATGACTTTTCACTCTACAGTATCCTTTTCTCTCTCTCTCTTTTTAGGTGAAATCAGTATGGTAGATATGAATTCTAACATTTTTCCCCTCTTTTTAAAGTGGAATCATTATGGAACATTAATACTCATTAAATGAGATTATAATATATGTGATACATGTTATTTGGCTCTTATCCATGTGAATTATGTTTTGAAGAAAAAGTAACCTAGTAACAACCGATTATGAACGAATACTTGTCTAAAAAATAAGATTATAATAGAAAGGAAGTATAAGTGTTTCTTTTAAATGATGAAAAACTAAATTAAATATTTTCTAAATGTGATTATTGTGTTAGATATCTCAGCTAGATAAGAGATAAGTTAATTTATAATATATAAATAAGGTAATTTTGACTTAATAAGTTTATTTTATAGAAATGAATTTGATTTAAACTCATTATGATCAATTTCTTTTACTTTCTAATATTTAATAAAGGGTTTTCAATAAATATTTTGAAATATCAAATTTTATATAAAAACATATAAATTCGAGGGAACTAAATATATTAAATTAAAAATAATATTATTAATTATAATATTTTAAATTATATACAATTTTTTATATAGAGTTTCAAGACCTATCAGACAATTAAGACTGATCACTGTTGATACTTTACATATAAAATAAACATGCATATGGATTTCAGAACATGGTAATCTAAATCTAAACTTTTCTATTTCACAATAAAAATTATATTTTTAGAATTATCTTTTTTTTTATATCTTCAAAATACTTTGATTTTACTGTATTAAATATTTTCTAATATATTTTAACAGATCAAAATCAATGTATATCAATATATTTTAAAGAGAAAATAGAGAGATAGTAAAAAAAGAACTCATGTAATTAATAATCCAATTTTAATACATATGGTTTCAAGTTTGTGTGATGATAAAGATCATGTCAATTCTTTTATCAATTAAACCCAGAAGTGTACAAGTTATTGAAGACTGGTTTTGTTGGTTTCGTGTATGAAACCATTTTCTTTATTCTTAATTTTTGATTCATGCTTTGAATTTTCCATCGCGTCCATTTCATATTCCATTAATGATAACTCAAGAACTGAAAATTGTGTTAAACTGTTTGACTTTGGTGACAAGGTATTAAATTGAGTTATTAAGATACTTAACTTAAAGGCTCAAATTGGACAATGATATATGGATTGTGTTTAGGTTTATGCTTATAATTTTGGATCTGTAAATTGACTTTGAAAATAGTTATCCTATTTAGTCTAAATAATGAAAACTATACCCTTTATTAGTTTAATTCTTTTAAGTATATATTTTAAAGTGTAATGTTAAAATAATATAAAAAGTTTTATGATGAAAGAAACTATGTGCAATAGGAACAGAGAAAAATGATTACAGAATTGTATCTACCTACGTTAGAAAAAGAAAAAGAGAATAAAAAATTTTAATGAACATTTTAAGAATAAAACATAATATAAAAACTGAAAACTAAAAGTACCATTGTAACAAATACTATTTATTCTAACATAACAAAAATATTTGCAAAATACTATTAAAAGCTCTGGTACAAAAGTTAATATCCAATGTTTAAAAAAAAGTATAAAAAATTACAGTAAACGTAACTTACTTAACGACAAGAATTTAATTTTATAAAAGCTACTATTATTAACGTAAAACTTATAGTATAAATTGTGTAAAGTGATATAATGANAATGAAAACAAGTTACACACCGCTCTTCCGATTCCGGAGTCACCTCCAGTTACTACAGCCACCTTCCCCTGAAAATATATAAACCGATTAAGCACATAAGCAGATAAAAAAAAGTACTTTGAGATCAATCAGTGCATGCATATATACTTGAAGTTTATTGGATGGTTTGTAATCTGGACTGCTATATTGGGGTGGTGGATTCATCAGATACTCTTTGCCAGGCTGTGTGTACTGCTTCTGAGGGGGAAATCTGTATTCACCCGAAGCCATTCTCTCAAACGGGCTTTTGGAAACTGCGTTTTGAATAGACGTGGATTTGGAGATCCTAATTTATAAGGACGTAGTGAACAGAGAAAGTGTTAAGGTTCTGTAGCATGTGTATGTGTAGGTGTCGGTGTGATGAAGATGATATACACATGTTCTGTTTTGAGTCTGACAGGTTGCGACACATTTATTGTGGGAAATGGTTTCTTTGGTCATGGTTTTCTGTTTTTTTGTTTGGTTTTCCTATTTGCTTAGGTTAATTGTTTCCTTGTTTAGGTTTTCTATTCTGAAAGTGTTTCCCAATTTGACATTTTTAAAATGTTATTCTTGTTACTTCTAGTAGGGAGAAGGTAATAAGTAAAAAAAAGCGGATATATGCAATCATGCTGAATCATGGGTATAGAAAAAGCTGAGTAGAATATAGAGTGTATGTGAAATTCCAAGATTAAGCTAATTTGGTGGTGGTGTGTATATACGTTGATGATTTGCTCATCACACGAAGTAATATCAGATAAATTGAACAATTCAAGAAGTTTTTGACAAATTGAGGAAATTTTTTTGGAATGACTTTGCCCACAACTTGTATCCACTCCTAAGTCATTCTCTTGAACCGTTTTTTTTGGAATTTACCCATAAGTTGCAAGTGTAGAACTCGACTTTAAATAGAAACCATA